TGAAGTCAAAACTAAATAAAAATAAAAACTAATGAAAATTGCAAAACTATTAAAACCCTGCTTATCATAACCTAACCAAGCTTTTTTTTAAAGGAAAAGAAAGGAAAGGAAAAGATCTTCTTTAAAGGAAACTAGATGAAGAGCATTTTAATATTCCCACATGTTTTACAGCACGGTCAGAAACTGATTTATAATTCCAGGTCAGTGTGGCTGGGATGGGGGACCCAGTTTTCCATGGATGCAGGCATGTTTGAGAGGGCTGTAAAACATGTGATTTATAAAACCAAAAGCAGCGAGTTGTAAATTCATATTTACGGACATTTAAGTCAGGGTCGTGTTTACATTTCTAAACTACCAGATTTGGGACGAAAGGCAAATATAATAAAGTTCAAATTCAGAGTGAAATAGTTTTGCCAGAGGGCCAAATTTGGCTCACATGCCTTCCACTGTTGCAAAGTCCTGTCTTATTATTAATAACATACTCAGGCCTGGTTGTGTTGTCCACATCGATGTGTTTAAATGTAACCGTGTAATCACATTACATAATGATGTTATCATGATGTGCTTGTTTGCTTTACTGCAAAATGTCACATAGAGGTCGTTCTTAAATAAATAACAGAGAATCGGTGCCAGATAGACTCAGTGCTTTGGTATGACTTGAACAAATAACACAGAAATGTAATATCAGTCATGGCAGGGGCAACTACTGATTACTGCGGCACTTATGGCAAACACGCCAATTATTTTTATTTCATTTCGCCTCAGATGCACATATGCAAGCATGAAAAATAATAAAGTATGAAAACACGCTAATGAATTCCAGCCAAAAGGAGAGCGTGAAGTCATGAGTGTGCGTGTTTGTCTCACGTTTCAGCCTTTGAGAGTCTTACTGTCTGAAAGCTGCGCAGAGTGACAGTGTGGGAAGCTGAGGCAGCATCCTGGTGGAGGTGACTGAGACGGGCCCAGCCTCCGCAGCGGCTCCATCACTTCTGCTTCTGCTTTCCTTTCGGTCGTCCCGCAGCTGCCGTTGTTTTCCACCGGTTGATCTACAGCATGCAAACAAAGGCTGACTATAAATCACAGCTGACTCTACAAGCATGAAATCAGCTCAGTGAGTTATACATCCTCCA